TCCATGTCATGTTTTCTGCTGAAAACAGAGGGCAATTACTGACCTTTCTCATTTTGCTGCTAAAAAAGGACATTGGTTCAAAGCCGACCACTGCTAGAACCAATGTCTGCTGCCTGCTACCCCTCCCTGGCACTGCAGGACCTGTTTAATCACTGCTCCTGGAGGAAACAGAATTCCCAACCAACAGGAGCCTAATGTGTGAGCACCAGGTCTCAGCTGGAGCATTTCAGCTGAAGAGCCTCATCTTAATTCTACAGAATTATTGTCCCCCTTTACACACCGCTTGTTACCATTAAAGTATCATTGGGCTTCAATCAAGTTCTGCAGGAGAATTCCTCAGTAAATGGAGGGCATAGGTTTTGGGGGTTTTATTTTTATTTTAAGTTCCATTCCTGGGAGAATCCCTCACTGAGAACACAGCCCTGACTAACAATACCTATGTAAACTCAATTTGCAGAGGAGCTGAACTCAAACCCTGTGTTTGAATAAGTAATTTTGGGATGATTTTTGCCTCAGTTTTCCACCCATCAGCTTTATTTGGAAATATTTTAATTTATAAATAACCAATATTTGTTTCAGTTAAATTCACAAGGACATACTGCTTGATCTCTGTGGGTTTTGGGCAGCCATCAAGTAACTATGAAAGTACCCCTTAGTTTTAGAAATATTCCCTTTCCATTAGTTCTAGAAAGAGTCTCTTTCCCTGCTTTAGCCACTGACAGACATTGAAGAAGTGATTCACAATAAAATCATGTTACTACAGGGGGAAAAAAAAACTCACTAAAATAATGATCACACATTCCTTAACTTCTGATGTAAAACATAGTTTTCAACAGCACAAAATCATTTCATTTGGTTAAAAAAGGAAGGCAAGAGGATCACAAAGTAGCTGGCGTTGCTCTCCAAACTAAAGAATTATAGTAAAAAAACCACAACTCTTCAGGCATCTGGGGCTGCATTAAATTTACAACACAATGTTAATGCAACCTTTCCTCCCCTTTCTCTACCCACCCCCCTTTTTTAATGATACACATGAAATCTAAGATTTAATTTCTCTTAATATATTACTAGTATAATATGAAATATCTAAATCTTGTAATGGCTCTGAAGTGAGGCTGGGGCCAGGCTTGGACACTGGATCCAGTGCCTTGGAGCTTTGGGGATGAGCCAAGCCAAGCCCAAACTGTGCAGCTTCACACCCATCTTTAATCAGAAGCATTAGCTTGATGCTCTTCCATCATGAGTAACCATTGCTCTGAGCTGGAAAACTCAGTAGGATGCATTGTAGGGCACTATTTCCACATCTCATATTTGTACTTGTGTCTCATCAACAAAGCCTCAGGTCTGGGCTTTCATTCAGGCTCCATTAAAGAGCAAAAACACTCTTGGACAAGACCCTTTCAGGCCCAGGTTTCAGCAGTGATTTTAATGAGAACTTTGATAGAAGGATTTTCTCTGCTCTTTTGTTTAATAACCACAGAAGCAAAGGAGTATCCTGATGTGTCCTGGAGGTGTGATAAGCACTACTCCATTGAAAATGAAAATATTTGGTTCTGCAGAAGAACACAGATAGGAATTTAAGCACACTTAGATGAGCATTGCTGCAGAATTCTGTTTGCACAAGGAAAGCCAAGTGCTTGGAAGTGTCTGGAAAAGGAGGGACTTAATAACAACAGCTGTACAAATAATTTATTGGGGGAAAACCAGCAGAATTCTTAGATATGGCCCAAGACTGAAACATAATGAATTAAATAATGAAATGAATAAACCACTCTGCTGCCCTGTGGTTTTTGAGCCTGCTTTTACTCTGCTCACAGGTTCTGCACTGGCAGGATGCACAACTACCCCTTCAAACTTAATAGACAGCTCTGCACATTCATTACTTTGCCTGGTGAATATCTTAACAATTAAAATGAAAATTAACATGTCCAAAGTGTGCAAACAGACCACTAATATTTTAAAGTAATTTTTTGCCCCCACTTTTGACTTTCAGGGTTGCTGACAGGACATGCCCAACAGCATGCAGGCAAAAAGAATTTATCAAAATTTTAAAACAGAAAACTCAACAAACACAAAAAAAAATCAACCAAAAATAAAAGAAGCGTCCAGAGGCCACTGGAGTGTTTAAGAACACTCCTAACTTTGGTGATGTTCAGGGAAGTAATGATGATGTCCTTAGAAACCAGGAGGCAGACAGAAAACAAGCTGTCTTTGCCCATTGTCCTTCCTGTTCATCATGGCTAATTTGCCTTGGAACACGGAGCTTTGTTATTCCCAAGGTGTCAGATTTTAGCAATTTGAGCCACTTTTTGTATCTTTTTTTATCCACACTGACCTCTGCAGCCCAGAACAAAGCTCAGCAACCCATGTGTCCAGCTCTGAAGCAGCCTGAATGAAGATCCTGCTCTCACTCAAAACCTCAAGAATTCAGTCATTTGTCTCAAAGGTTTTCATTCTGTAACTCTGAGAAAAGGTTGACATTTTGGGGGGGGGTTGATAAAAACTAAACTGAACTTAGTGGTTTTAAAGCCTGATCTTGATTAATTTGGAGGCCTGAACTGAACTCTCACACTGAGACTCCCATGGACTGAAGGTGCAGGAGGAGCTGAAGTTATCCCAGAGAAACAGAACCCTGGAGTTTCACTTGGCTCTGTTTTCCCAGCTTGGCACGTTTGGAGGCAGAAAACCCAGCTGAGGAGTCTATCCCAGCTCATTCTCCTCAATAAAGTGCTGATTTTGGTACAGAGATCAGAAGCAAGGCCAGGCTCTCTCCCATGCAGGAGAGCTGCCAGGTGGATGGGCTGAGGAAGGAAGGAATTCCATCCTCAGCCATGGGACCCTGCAGGATTTGGTTCTGCTTCCCTGTTTAAGGTTTCCCTGGACATCTGAGGGCTCTGTCACATCCCCATTCGGGTGAGGTGACACCAAGAATAATGCTAAGAACACAGACAGATTTCTGCCCCTCCAAAAAAAGTTTGATCCAAATTCCTCCTTCAGCTCAGCATCTGATGGACGTCAAGGATTTGAGGATTTTTTGGGAGTAGCCAGCAAGGGTTTGAAATCAGAGCTGAATTTCTCCAATATTCCAATGTGTTTGGGTCCAGAATTTCTCTTTTGGCAGTTACAGCCAATATTCTGTGTATTATGGCAGTGTCTCAGGTCCCCAGGTGTTAATCAGGAGAGCCCTGGGCATGATTTTTTACAAACTCAGAACAAAACCCCCCAAAAAAGGAGATTATTTATGTTTCCTGACATTCCACAATCAGTTCTTCTTGCTGGCTCCAAAAGCCAACAAGATGTGTTTACATGCTGTAGAAGAGATTTTCTTTTGCTTTCCAGAATTTTTAGCGTTCTTGGCAGATGATAACTAATTGCTGGTTCTTTTCTTTATGGAAATTGCCACTTGAAAAAAAACTCACTATAAATTCCCTAACAATGAGCACCTCTTTTTTTCTCACGTCTTATCATCTCTAAAAAACACAGAGTGAAGAAGTCACTGCAGTCTCTTTAAACTACTGGTGAAAAAAATTAGGTTGGTCAGGAATTTTTCTTTAGATTTCTTCATGCTCCAAACAAAAAGCTAATAAAACTTTTTTTTTTTTTTTTGCTGCATTTCTTTATTTTTTTCTGAGCTTTCAGAAGATTTTGTTTTGCAGGATTTCTCGTAAAAATTGAAACTTTTTTTTTAAATTATTAAATTTTTCATTGCTAGCAGAACCGGAAGAGAAATAAAAATCACTTTTTCTATGAGAATGCATTTTGAAGTCTGAAGCAACTCTGTAAACTCCTGTGGAGTTTCAAGTCCATTTATAAATGAGGAAGATGATGCAACCACATTTGGAATCAGAGATGAAAAGAGAGGGAAAGGGGCTCATCAGAGGTCCCCCAGAAAAGCTGGGGTGCAGCACAACCACCTGATTCCATGGCTGTGATCAGCCTTGCCCCAGAGTCAGCTCCAGCCCCACTTTCTGCCCCTTCCCAGGGAGCTGCCAGCACATCCACGCTGTCAGAGCTGCACCATTCCCTTGCTGCTGGACCAGGGCTGAGCTACAGGTGAAACTGTTATTTCTTAAACAGAGCTGCCGAAAAGGTGAGGGCAGGAGAGCCTCTCCTCTCCTCTCCTCTCCTCTCCTCTCCTCTCCTCTCCTCTCCTCTCCTCTCCTCTCCTCTCCTCTCCTCTCCTCTCCTCTCCTCTCCTCTCCTCTCCTCTCCTCTCCTCTCCTCTCCTCTCCTCTCCTCTCCTCTCCTCTCCTCTCCTCTCCTCTCCTCTCCTCTCCTCTCCTCTCCTCTCCTCTCCTCTCCTCTCCTCTCCTCTCCTCTCCTCTCCTCTCCTCTCCTCTCCTCTCCTCTCCTCTCCTCTCCTCTCCTCTCCTCTCCTCTCCTCTCCTCTCCTCTCCTCTCCTCTCCTCTCCTCTCCTCTCCTCTCCTCTCCTCTCCTCTCCTCTCCTCTCCTCTCCTCTCCTCTCCTCTCCTCTCCTCTCCTCTCCTCTCCTCTCCTCTCCTCTCCTCTCCTCTCTTATAGTGACCATCGCTATTTTGGCTTCTTGGTTTGTTGTTGTTGTTTTTTAAAGGAGCTGAAGGGAGGATGTGTTAGAAAGCAAAAAATAACAGGGAAAGAGGTAGGAAATGAGGAGGTTGCTTGTGTAGCACGTACAGAGCTACTTTGAACAATTCTGAGGCATCTAAATATCACAAGCACGATCCCTGCTGTGGGCAGCTGGATCTGCGAGTGCTTTGCCCGAGGGTGTCAAATCAAATATCCACTGCTGGTTGGTACAGTACAGCACTTCCCCCTGGGGATTCAGGGTGGAGAAAGAGGGAAGGAAAAGAAAGAAAAAGGGAAAAAAAAGGTTTAAACACAACAAATGGAGAAAAACTGAAACACTGTCTGATATGGCTTTTGTCATCATGTTTGTTAGGAGCAGCGTAGGAGAGAGGAGATGGGAAAGGAGAAGAAGAACAGAGGCAGACAGGTTAATGCTGAGCCTTGTAAGACTTACCTGGAATCGTCTCATATCTCTTGGGTTTCCTGCTGTTTTCAAGCAATTCTGATTGCACTTGAGAAAAAATTTTAGGAAGAATCTGGAAAGAGAAAGAACCAGATCACTTCTGTTAACCACAGCAAGAGGTGTTGTTATATTCTGGTTTAAAATGTACATGAAGTGGTTTGCATCATAGTGGATCTTACAGGACTGCAAGAATTTATCAAAACACAAACAAACCAAACCCTAATAAATGGAATTTGCAGAAAAGAACAGGTAAAGTATAACCAGTGTGACTGAAATCCACCGTGGTATAAGTGAACACCATTCCTCTGATCTACACCAACTCCCTCTCCACAGGTTTGACCACACAATTTTAGTCTCTTTCTTATCTCTCCCTCGCATTCAAGGTCTTTCTTTGGCTGTCTGGAGGGACTTCCCATGAAACAATATAGAAGGATAATGGTATTGTGGAGACCACAAAACCAACAGGGCAACTCCGAGGCAGATGAGCCTTGGAATGTATGAAAAACCCAGGAGCAAACACAGCTCAGAGAAGAATCTGATGAGGATTCATCCTGATGATGTTTTTTTCTGCTGAAGATTCCTGTCACAAAAGCAGAGGAACAGAACTGCCAAAAGCCCAGATTGTTCCTACCTAGATTTGGAGGGAGGATAAGGAAAACACGAGCTCAAGTGAAACATGACAGCTCACGCTGTCCGAGCAGATAAACCCATTAATATCCCACAAAGTTCTCGTGCCAATTATTTTTGCTCTGTCACATACACCCCTCTTCATGTGGTTTATTATTCTGTAGAGTTTAGCTTGTCATGTGCCCAGGTTGAATCTCCAGCCTGTTTGGTGACTCACCCAACACTGCATGGAGATTTTAGAGATTTTAGAGTTTAGAGAAATATTAAGCAGGAATTTTTCCCTAAGCTATTCCACCAAATTTTGTCTCACATCCACGCAGGAAAGGATTCACCCCTTTGTTTTCTGATTGAATCTGGACATTTCAGAGGTGAAGAAATTGTGTGAAAAGCCACAGTTGTTGGAACAAACAAGTCTTCAAAATTTAGGCATAAGCAAGAAATATTTTGGCATCCTCTGTTGCAAGTGAAAATATTCTCCGTGATTCTTTCCGTTTCTTTTTGTCAGACAAGATGGGTTTAACCGCAACAATTATAATTAAAAAAATAAATCAAAGACTTTGAGATAGATTTAGAAGGAAAAATAGTCATATACAAGAAAAAATAAATAGTTGAAGAATTGATTTTGAATACAAAGAACAAGTTATTTATTTATTTCTCTTGCTGAGTGCTTGCCTTTAAAAAAAAATAAATCTGCTTTTGCAGTAAGTTAAAGTCCCAGGTGAGCCAGGCCTATTTCCCTTTCTGTTACTATGACAACGATTTTTTACCGCAGTCCCTAAGTCCCTTCAGAACTCACACATTCATGCCTTGAATTAGAACTTTAAAGGAGAAAGATGGATATTTCCTGGGTTTACCAACAACACCCTCCAAACCAGCCCCAGCACAAGACAATAACACAGAAATCTGCTCCCCTTGTTAGTGCTACTTTCTCTGCACTACTCCCACCACAAGATTTCTCCTCCATCTGCCCAAAATACAAAGAAAAAGCCACGGGTTGGATCCATTTGTGTGTTGCTTGAACAAACCAAACCCCTCTGCAAACCTCACCCACAAAAAAGACACAGACTGTACCATGTAAAACCACTGCCCAAAACCCACCCTGGCCAGGGACCCTTTTCAATTAAAATGTCATCTTTTTTTACTATTATTCCCTTTAATATCTCACAAATATATTAGATATTTTTAAAATGTTTATTTTCTCAAGGTGAGACTGTTATTTTCTCCACATTTCCTTCTCATTTCAGGTCTCCCTTCAGCAGGACATTGAGGTTCAGCAGGACAAAGGTGTCAGTGCTCAGCTCTCACAGGGCAACTTCTGCCAACAGAGCCCTGGGCACCTCCGTGGCTTCCAAACTAAAAATCCTACAGAATTTCATGCCTTGGGAGCAGCACTGAATATATTTTATTAAATAAGTCCTGTCAAGTCCATGCTAAAACCTGTGACCTCTTTTATACAAAAGATTTGGTGAGATTTTATCCATAAAAACGTTTTCAGAAGGAAAAATCCCCTGCACACTGGCACTCTCAGAGACTAACAGGATAATGTGAGGCATAAATGTTACTCACAAACACTCCTTTTTCTCTTTCCCTCTTCTTAGAGATATAAAAAAGAATATTTGCAGGTATATAAACAGCTTATAGATGTGCCTGTGCAAAGGAAAACTCCAGAATGAAACCAAACTATAAAATGAACCAAGACAAGGAACTTTTACATGAAAATCAATGAGCTTCTGGCTGATGATTCTGCAGGAAAACCACCAAAAAAATTTTCACAAATTGTTACATCTAAGGAAATAAAAAATAAATTAAGCAGGAAAATGGCCAGCTTATTTTTTAATTTTTTGAATGCTTGCATCCCTTTTGATAGAGATGAGAAAAATGATTAACATGAACCAAAGAACGAAGAAAATGAGCAGGGAAAAGTGGGAGAGAACTTGCTGTGTCAGCTGGGCTGATTTGGGGAAGAGGACAGATCCTGGGGGACTGGGAGTGACACAGCCCCTAAAAGGCAGATACAGAGAGGCAAAAACTCCAAATGTGCGTTTAACAGCATCCACGAGCAAACTCTGCAGCACGGCGTGGCAAGGAACAAAAATCCCTTTTTTCTGCTAAATGCCTACAGAAAATCAGGGTTCAGACCCCCAGCAAACACCAACCAGCAGCACACTTGAAAATGAAGCTGGATTCCAATTAAATCCGGGCTGATTTGTGCTGAGGGGGGCAATGGCCATTAAAAAACCACAGAAACCAAACTTGCCCGGTCCCTGAGCTGCCACAGCGCTGAGGTTCCCAATCCTCCCCGGCTGCACCAAACACATCCCGGCCACGGAGCCTGGCAGGCTCAGCCTGGACATCGAACCCCAGCAGGCTGGGGATCCCACTGAGGGCTCCCAGAGGTGCTTTGACTTTATGGAATTGATGAACAGCTCAAAATGCTGACATTTTTGCTGCTTTAAGACATCACAAAATTCAGAAAGGGCTGGGTTTTCCTTTAGTATTTAAACATCATGGCAGAATTTATATTTATTTTGCTAAGTTGTTTGTTGGAGATCACTAGATATGCTGCACTATGACAATTTCCCTCTTATCACCCCAAAATTTAGATTTAATTTCATTTAGCTGCTCACACAAGGATTTTTCTCCTTTTTTCTTTTTTTCCCAGTTGAACCACACCTTTCTTTTTCTCTTTTTCAGAGTTCCTCCAGTCGAACTGAGCTGCAAGTGGGCATCTGTATGAAGTATTTGGAAGGTTGTTGTATATACATATATACACATATATACCCATATACATATATATGTGTGTTTGTGCATGTATAAATGTGGGGTTTTTTTTAAGATGTTGCATCTGGGAAAGGCATTAATATTTATTGCAGCATTAGAATAAAAATGACTTGGGGGGGAGCAAACAGGAGGGAAGGTTTAGCTCTAAATGAAGCTGATTTAGGGGTAACAGGAGAATTGCAGAAAGATTTTATTAATTTCTCTAAATGAGACACTTTAGCCAGTTTTTGGCCTTAACCTATATATACATGAAAAAAAAAATTTTAAAAAAGAGAATTATAAAAAAAGAGCTGATTTGGATGTTTCTGGCCAATCTTTAGCCTTGCTAAGGACAGAATTAGGTGGGGGTTTAGCAGGTGACTCTGGCTCCAGGCAAGCAAAGGGATCTTGGCCCATGCTCTCACTATTTCAGGGTGGTGGGGGAAAACCTAAACACATTTCAATAACTACCCCTGAAACTCTGGCATTGCTATAGAAAAGTAGATTGACTTAATGCACAGACATGAAATTAATTCAGATATAAGCTCAGACTTCTGTTCCTGTCATGTCTCTCTTGTCGTTGACCTCTCTGGGTACAGATTGAGGCACTTGAGAGGTCTCCAAAATGCCACCTGAACTCTGCCTCCCTCTTTTTAGAGCTATTTTAAAAGTTACTGCTCCTCCTGCTGGGAGCTCCCACCAAGCCCAGGAGCTCAGCTGAGGAGTGGTGGAGCTGCCCCTTTTCCCTCCAGGACAAAGTCAGCTGTGTTATCTCAACTGTATTTTAGCAATACCTTGAGCAGTCCTTGGTGGGGAGCACCAGGAGAACTCCGACCACAGCTGAGGGGTGCGTGGGCACGGAGAAAGGGTGAGGGCAAATGAAGCCAGGTCTTGCATCAGTTAAATTGTTTCCAAAGCAGGTTTTGACCCACAGTCCCATCTTGCCTGTCTATGCCCAAATAATCAGGTTCTGTACCTGGCTAGGACTGGAACCTGTGTTCCACACCTGTGAGGATGTTTATCCACCTCAGATGAGTGGGAAGAATCAAATTGACCTTAATCAAATCCTGCTGGAGTCAGAAAAATCCTCCTGGTGACTTTGGCAGGACTAGGCAGAAGCCCTAAAGCTCAGTCCCACATGCAGCAGAAGGTGTAATTTAAAAAAAATAAATCAATCCATTAATAATTTTAATCCCCCATCCACCTTTTATGCTTCATTAAAATAGAGGTACAGAATCAAGAGGTCCAACATTGGCTGTATGTTGGGAACAGCCTCTAGATACACCTAAAATTCTGGACATAACTAAAAATTCTCCCTTGTAAAGCAAATACTTCTGGCTTTTTGGGGTTGCTGTGGAATCTGGAGTTGTGGCCTCAGTCGTTTTTTGGCATGAGAACACGCCTACTATCTAAGATAATTGTGAATTTGCCTACCAGCAAATCCTGTAATCCCAAAACCAAAGGAAAATATAAAGATACAGTGCAATTCTGCTTAAATAATTCAGTGCCTCCAAAACATCACAAAGGGAACAAAGAAAAACCAGAAGTTGTTACTATGAGTATCAGTGTAACAATATTAAATTAAAATATCCTGTGAACTGCAAAAGTGTTATTATTGCAGTGAGGGCCTGACTCCAACTCCATCAGAACAAGGGAATTCTGGATCAGGTCAGATCCTCCCCTCGG